AGTCGCCCAGAATCTTAATACATGAGATATTATGGTCATCCAGAATAGCAGTTACTGAAACAGTTATCGAGCCGATTATCACATTCCACGATTTAAGGAGCCCATTTGAAGGCAGTTGAACGACAAAGAGTAATGACAGCAGTTAGAGATGATAGTTCCACGAAAAGTTAGCCACCATGAAGAAAGTTGGTAGTTAGAAAGCAATTAAACAATTTTCAAGCGGTTTGTCACGAAAAAATCATCATGAGAATATAAAAATGAAGAGAAGACATAGAGAAAATGGTCCGAATCAAACACTCTCAAATAGAGAATATGTAATTTCAATTTCTTAGATTAACTTTAATTATTCATTTTCAGTACTCGTGTACTTGCATTTCTTGGAGGCATTCTATTTATTTCCAATTGTAACTCTCATCAATAAAGCACCCCTTTTTGGGACTTTGTCTCAAGAGGTTTGTCCCTTACACTATCGTCTGAATCTTTTTTAATTGTTAGCGACTACCCGCGTGAAACAAATTCTAAATAAATATGGGTTTCCCTTTTTCCTCTTGTAATTTGTGGATATAAGCGGTGATATAAGTGGTATTGGGAGACTGATTTTGTGATCCTTAATCATATACGGAACTAAAAAAATTAAATAAAATAAGAATGAAAACTTAAGGTGGTGGCCAAGTTGATTTTGACAATGGTGGTGTTGGCCCACTGTTTTCAAGAATTGTTTCAGAAATTTCTTCCTGAAGTTGGACTGCAACCAAGTTTAAGTCGGGTGTTTGGTGGCTGCCGAAGAATAATTCTTCAAAATACGAATGATTTTTTGAATTGTATTATTTTCTAGAGATAAAATATAAATTTTGCACATTGTGACAAGTATCATTAAGTCGGATAAGGGGTACTAGAGATATATCTATGTTTTGTGTAATCATTGTGAAATGATCATTGAACTTTAATGCACTTAATTGAGCGTAATTGACTGTAATCTTCATCCAGATATTGTAGGTTGGTACGTATATATAAATCTAAATATATTTTTGAATTTAAATAATGTACATTATTATTCAACTAAGTATTCAATGAAGGGCCATGTGAAAATCTAAGTGGCTCCGAAATTTCAAAAATGGCCTCAGATATCACTTCATCTTGTCTTCCTAAAGTTGGCAGCAACCAAGGAAAAAAAATCAAATAATGGGTAATTGTTCACAATTTGAATGATTTTTTGGGTTGTATTATTTTCACGAGGTTAAATATAAGTCTAACACGTTTTTGACAAGTATCACAAATTCAGATAAACGGATAGAAATATGTATTTATGTTTTGCGTAATCTTTATATTAATAATCATTGAATTTGAATGTACATTTACGTAATTATAATCCTCACGTAATTATAGTTCTAAATGTATCTGTGAATGATTTTCGATTAGACATGTTTTGGACAATCTTGACGATAGGATAATCAATTATTGTATTATTATCTATTTGAATTTTCTCT